GGAAACGTTGAAGGAATATTTAAGGTTGGATATTGTTATGAAAAAGGAATCGGAGTTGAAAAGGATGAACATAAGGCATTCATTTATTATCAAAAATCTGCAGAGTTTGGTAAAGCAAATGGAACATATAATGTTGGATATTGTTATTTTTATGGAATTGGAGTTGAAAAGAATAAACATATGGCTTTCATTTATTATCAAAAATCTGCAGAGATGGGGAACTCTAATGGAGCATTTCATGTTGGAAATTGCTATCGAAAGGGAATTGGAGTTGAAAGAGATGAACATAAGGCATTCAGTTATTATCAAAAATCTTCAGATATGGGGAACGCTAATGGAACATATCAGGTTGGAAATTGCTATCGAAAGGGAATTGGAGTTAAAAGAGATGAACATAAGGCATTCAGTTATTATCAAAAATCTGCAGAAATGGGGAATAATAATGGAATATGTTCAGTTGGATATTGTTATTACCATGGGATCGGAGTTGAAATAAATGAACCTCAGGCATTTACTTATTATCAAAAATCTGCAGCGATGGGGTACGCTAGTGGATTATATTATGTTGGATATTGTTATCACTATGAAATTGGAGTTGAAAAGGATGAACGTAAGGCATTCACTTATTATCAAAAATCAGCAAATTTGGGATATACAAGTGGATTAAATAATGTTGGCTTTTGTTATTTGCATGGAATTGGTGTTAAAAAGGATGAATATAAGGCATTCATTTATTATCAAAAATCTGCAGAAATAGAAGTCTGCAAAGATGAGAAACATTGATGGAATCTTTGAAATTGATTATTGTTACCGAAATGAAATTGGAACACAACTATTCACACAAACATAAAAATTATACTATCAAAAATTTATTATAAAGTTTGTCACAGTAAGGTCAACTGAAGATACCTGACAGTTATATGAATTTTTTTCATTATTACTAATATTACTAAAACAACAATATAAAACAATTATGCCAGAATAATAATCATAAAACAAAGGTGCCAATAATAAAATTATCTACAACTAAAATATACAGCTCTAGTAATGAATAATAATGATAACTAAACGAATAACACCAAATGTTCATGAAAATTATACGAAACACCGCATAATCGTGAAATAAGTATTACGGTTCGTTATTTGAAATAAAGTATTAAAATTTTTATCACAATGTATATTTACCAAGTCTCTTAATACATGTTATATAACCCAGACTTTATTTAAGGATATTATTTTGAATGTGTTTAAGGGAGCAATTATTTCGTAACCATCAGTACATTATAGTTTTACGCTAAAATAATATAGTGGTAATAAAACTATATAATATGATTGATTACTGTAATAAACGGTATATCGTTAGCGAAAATGAAATATAATAAAAAAAATGTTTTATTTGACTAATGTAATCATTATAAATATGATAATCGTTAATTGAATTAGAGTTGATTCTCATTCTCTTATAGAAGTTTTATTACGGTTTGTAAAAAGATGCGAGCCACAATTTTTGTGATAATAATACTGGGAAATTTCGGCTCTTATTTATATTTTTACCCATTTTTTTCGCTTATTGCAACAGGAGCGACCATTTAAATTCGTCGATGGTTTCATTAATTGGTCACCCCTGTAATTTTGACCAAACGTGATTAGTAATGTGCTGCGTAAAGTACTATACGACTGTACGTACCAGTACTGTATGCAAGAATTTTTGCCGATCATTTTATATGTATATATTAATTAGCCAATCAAATTTAAAGATTTTGCTATCCCTTAAACCGTCTAGTGGGCAAATTTACCAACTAAAATTTTTTTTCCCAATTTTTGTACAATTGTTCCAAATTTTATTAAGATGCACCCATATTTCCTAAGCTAAAATACATTATATGCTAAATGTTATGTAATTCTTATCTTGAGAAATTTCCTTAATACTACTCTCAAAACCAGATAAATATGATCGATCATACTATAGTGATAGTCTTTATGATCAAATTTAATAATTAAAAAGGTACTTTCATGTGATGATCTAGAAATTAATATAGTTGATTGTAATAAATATCTTTATAAAAAAATAATTTTTTTATATTCTATTTTATTTAATTATTTTAGTAGATAAATTTGTTCACTAAACTGAATGGTTTAAAAAATAATAATAATACAGATCTATTTCTATTATGAGATCTAAAAATGTGATTGTTATTATATAAAATAGATTTCAAATATTAGAAATATCAATTACAAATATAAAACTAACTACCTATCTTATAATAAAAGTACAATGTTATTCTCTAAGAACTAGAACTATCATTAAATTCCATTATTAATACTATTCATTCATTTAAGAATAATTAAATCTATAATTGATCAATTGTTATAATTATGTATTCAGTAAATTGAAATGTAAAGTGAAGAGTTCCAACCTTGATTTGATGTAGTAAAATTCCAAGTTGAGACAATAAAAGAAAATAAGAATAAAGATAGATTGAAGAAAAGACTTAACAAAGAAGACTAGTACTTAGCTATGAACAATAATACACTTGTCAAATCTATTATGTCTATTTTAACTTAACTGCTATAAGTTATGAAAGAGTTGAATTAGATTAATGATAGACACACTAAATTCTGAGATGACACTATTTAAAAAAAATAGTGAAATGTAAAAATTGGATGATTTTTTATTAATTATTGTTTGTAAAATAACTTGTATATTATAATAAATTCTTTTATTACAAAAACATATTTTATAAAAATCAATTAACAAAAAATTATCTAGTTTTTATAAAAATTTATAAGTATAAATTATAACAGTGAATAAAATTATCTTAATAATGAAGGGCAATTTACTAACAATACATTAAAGTTTATTTTTTAATCTTTAAAATCTAATCTTTAATTGCTTGTAGCTTGTGATGCGGTGATCATAACTGAATGATTCTGATACCATTCAACTCATCTTATTGAGACGAATCGAATGGTACCAAAATCATTTGACTCTAATCGATAGATCATGAGATATTATCGTTATGTGTGCATCATAATTTGTACATGTATAATAGTTTATTAATTTTTTAACTTTTAATTTAATTTGCAATATCGCGTGATCTGGTGGTCAGAACCGAATGCTTGGTACTATACAATTCGTCTCAATGCTGTGAATCGAATGATGCCAAAATCGTTCGATTCTGATCTCTATATCACGTGATATTGATCGTAAAAATTACTGTCATAACCTTATATACTATACGTACTGTACATGAAAAAAATTGGGCTATCATATAAACGGCACATTACTAAACATGATAGTCAAACCAAAATCAAAGAAAATCGCGTATAGTTAGGGTTACAATTAGAACAATATGACGACCATTAGTAGAATTTTACGAGAAATATTTTTAATTAGATCGCAGAGCTAATATTTTTTTTGTAAAAATGTAGTTCGTTTCGATTTTTATATTACACACCTGATCTTAAAAATCGATTGGTCAAAGTTACAATTTTTTAAATGAAAAGCATTAAACTTACTCTAAAAGAAGTAATGTAAAACATTAAAAATTATTTATCTATTGTGTAACTATATTGCTTGGAATTTTTATATTCCATTTTGATTATATTATATCGATATATATTTTTTTACTTTTTTTAACGTTACGAAATTTCAAACTATTAAAAAATAAACCTGGGAATAAATCATTTATTGCCCGCTTCGTTGACAATAACTGTACATTAACAGTCAACTCATTTCGTCAAACAGTCTAACGCCAAAATAATTAATTGCTTACTAAATTTGACATTCTTATTGAAGAATTTATATATAAATATGGCTGTTAATGTATTCAATCAATTGACACATCGAAAAAATTGCTTTTCAAAATTCCTATCTTTTATACCGATTACGTTTTATTTGTTATTATATAACACTTTCTTCATGTTTCTGATTTTGCTATGGTGTTTTTAACATTCGCAACCCAATATTTTAACCTAAGTATTCTTTTAGCACGATTTCATATATACATGGATTAGAGTATGTACTTGTATTAGAAATAATTGTCTTTTCTTTTGTGTTTAGTTTAAAGTTTTATTTTTTTCTATAAATGCGATAGTCTCTAATTTTGGCAGTGTAAAGAATCCATAATACGTAGTTTGAGAAATTTTTTTTCTCGCAGTTATCACATGTAAGAATTACGAATTACAATGCAAGATATTTTTATCAATGCATACAATCGCATGATAAATTATATATTACCGACAAAGTGATTATAATTCTATATTTGATAATCTCTCTTTTTAACATCAAATAATTTTCAAAATTTAGAAAGACAGTACATATATCGCGACAATATTCAATGGGTAAAGAGACAAATTATTTGATACTGATACGTACGTTTAAATAATGATTAAAATGCATAAGTTACCATTTTAGAAGATTCGACAGAAAGAAGGGTGAAATATGCAACTATATTTATCATCATGCTGTTAATAACTACTTTTGGATGTGCGTATCTTGGCATTTTTCCATATTGATATTCTACATACTTATTTATATAACTTTATTCATTAACTTTTAACCAAAAATCTTTTATCAAACATTAATGTATTCTTTGAAGCTTGGAATATATATCGTATCATAGAGGCTGTAAACACACCAGTAGCGTCCTTAAAATCCGTTTTGCGCCCTAGCATACCAGTAATTTATCTATAATAATTTATTACCTTGTGAGAGATTTGTGCAGAGATTAAATATATAATACTGCATATACTCATTTAATTAGGTACCAGGCTTAATAATTTGCGGAAACACATTAAACAGGCCTATTGAATGCTACAAAAGTGAATTCAATTACGCAGATGACGACCATACAAAGGTATGTATTTAATATTTGATTCTGTGATTCTGTGTTTTTATTTTCTTTTAATTAAAGTTATGCCCATCCAATTTCTCAAAGGGTTCAAGTTGTAATGAATATTTATCGAACGAAACGATTGATGCAAATTTTTTTGTTAATATGCGTGGCTATGACCTTGATAACCAATTTTGTCGTTCGTGTTATTTAATTATTCTTGATAATTCAATAGTCATTTGCTAATAATTTATTTATTTTCTTGTAGGTATTTTAGATCCTTCACGACCGTTTAATAAATATATCGGTGTGAATCCTCTTGTATTTAATAATTCAACTCAAAAAATCGCCATTGCATTATGGTCAGATGAAGAAACAAATAATACAGTATAGAATTAAAATTTATATGCTATTGAATATTGCATGAATAAACAATTAACGTGCTAACTTTAGAAATTAAATTTTTATTATCCAGAAATTAAATATTACACAGGATCGTTGGTTCACATACGGAATATTTACTGAATATGAAGATCCTAAGTATGCTAAATTCCAAATTGTCAAAATGGTAATTACATATATAATGGATTTTTTTTTAATTTTATAAATTTAATATATGGACATTAAATATAGAAAATATAGATAAACTAATTATATGTAAATTTTCACAGCCATCTTTATCATATTTGTATGTTACGAGGATAGAAATATATGATGTTGCCAAAGCAGATGCTATAATCGGAAGTAGAACAGGCCAAAAGTCTGATACGATTGTCAAATACGATAAAATGTTTACAAGCTTTAATATTGCTGGATTTGCCATTAGTAATCATCTTTGGGAACTTTTCAGAATTATTCCTGCAAATTATGTTAATAATACACGAATAAATTCCCAAGAATATCCTGTACAACTTTGGTATTGTCGAGTAGAATTTACTCTTCTTCAGCTTGCTGCCAATATGGGTGGTTTCTTAAGCGCACTTAGTGTTATTTATTTCACTTTATTTGGATCCCGAAAAATGAATCCTTGGGGTATTATTCAGCGTTACGTAGGTATCAGTTTGATTCATTTATTTTTATTGATAAAATTTGTAACTTTGTATTGAATCCTTATTTTTGATACTATAGATACTTAAAACAGTGCCATCTATTTCAGAATCTTACTTTTCAATGACTGAATCACATTTAGCATGTTCAGATATTGAAGCAAATAATAATGATATAGAGCGTAAACAAATTTATTCTAGAAGAAACTCTGTTGAAACTAATTCAGAATCTTCTCTTTCGAGTTTTGAACAAACTTTAATTGCTGATATAGATGAATCAAAGATTCAAACAATAAGATACGAGTTACATGCTGAAATGCAGAGGATTATTAAAAAAGAACTTTTAACATTTAGGAGATTTTTAGGTAAATACTATCTTAAAAATATATGAGTTGTTTTATAAATTGAATGAGCAAATATGAAAAGCGAATGATGGGTTATACTTAGGTAAATATTGCATTTTTATAATTATTATAATAAAATATATATATATGTACCACGATGACGCTGTGATCATGTTATAAACTGCAAAATAAAAGAAAATAATATATTTAAAAATCATTGATGAAATCCACCAGTATATTCTTTTTTACAAATTTTAAAGATGTAACTAGATTTTAGGATTAATATTCGGACATAGTTAAAGATTAGTCTTTTTAGGTTCTCTGTTAAAATTGTCTTGAGATATAACATACATAATGAATTTCACTTAATTTAAGTGTTAAAATCGTCCAAATTATTTTAGCTATTAATAGAGGAAAGGCAGATAAGAAATTAGAGGCTGCGTTTAATTGATACGTTGATACGTAAGGGATTAGAGATCGCATTCAGTTGATATATTATGTACTAGAGATTGCATCATAAGTATAATATGATTATATTAACAATTAAATGAAAGTTTTATTGTCGCAAAAGACTTATTTAAGAAAGTGTCTTTTTTTATTATAAGTTATGAAGTTATGACAAACTTTTTATACCTTGCAAAGGAAATTATCAAGTTTTACCACTAAACCCTACAAAATCTCATTTTCTTCACAAGTTTCGCAACATATGAGCCCAGACTTAACAAATACGGGATTCGCTACATTGATCTACATACAGTATAAATTATATTCTTGATCATGTAATATCAAAACGGTAACTTTGGTTAACTAGATTTAAAATTTACGTAACAAACAAAACTTAAAATTTAGCATTACGTAGCAAATTATCACCATAATGCATGCAAGAAAAGAACAGAGTAAAGTAGTAAGATAAATAACAATGTGATTACAGTATGTACGGGTGAGCAGATCCGTATAGTATAGGCCAAAATTAAAAGGAAGTGAAAGCTATACGTACTATACTGATCAGCTACTAGATTAGTATGGTATAGGTTCTAAAATTCATACTGATCTGCGAAATACCTACATTGCTAATACATATAAATTGAAATTTTTATAGATAAATCACAGAATGTCAATGATTCAGATTATTTTTTCTTCCTAAGTCTAAAAAAAATTAAAAAAAATGCAATCTTCGAATCCAAAGAAGCAAGTAACTGTCATTGGAGCTGGAATTTCAGGATTGACTACCGCTGTTCTTCTACAAGATGAGTATGATGTTACAATCGTATCTAGAGAATTTCCAGGTGAATTAAAAGACGGATATGCTAGCCCATGGTTTGTAAATTAAATTCAACTCTTAATTAAATATACTGCGCTCTCATGGTGTTGGAATAAAATATGTTACAGGGCCGGTGCGCATTGGAGAAGCAGTGCAGAGTTAGAAGACATTCGACAACAAGGTATTGCATTAAAATTAACTTTTAAATCATATTCCTGCAATATTTGTTAATTCATCGATTCTTTCGAAAGGATTTGATAGAGAAACTTTTATTCATTTTTGGAATTTTGCCTGCACCAGACCATCGGAAACTGGAGTAATGATTGTGGACGGGTTTGACTATTGGGATGAACTTCCATTAGGATGGAATGATCCATGGTTCAAGGACTTGTGTCCAGAGGTAATAACATTTTTTTTAACATTTATGATTACATGATAACTTTTTAGCAATGATCGAATTTCTACTTATACAAAAGTATAGGCATTTAACGAAAGACGAACTGCCAGCTAATGTTGAATTTGGAATTAAATATAAGACTGGTATATGATATATGAGGTTAAATTTATATTGTTCAAAAATTTTTGTTCTATTCATGACTAAGAATTTGATTCTACCTTTAACCTTTTGAAATTGAAGTTACATTTAATCCAGCTAAACATCTTTCGTATCTCTTGGCCCGCTTCTATGCACTTGGCGGAACTACTAAAAAAATTACTTTGTCTCATATCCAAGAGGCAATTTTTGATAACACTGACATTGTAATAAATTGTTCTGGACTTGGTTCCAGGAACTTAGGAGGTGTTCAAGATCAAGATGTTTATCCAGCAAGCGGACAAACAGTATTGGTACAATTGCCTATTGGGCATGTAAATTGGACATTTTTACGATACGTAGCTACAAGTGCAATTAGTACGTATTTTGTAAAATAAAAAATCCTATTTAAATCTGAATTTTACAATAATAATACTTTTTATAATATGGCAGGATCGAGTGAAATTTTCAATTATGTAATACCACGCGATAACGGAGAAGTGATACTTGGCGGAACTTATGTAAGAACTCTTGAAATATTTAATGAAAAAATTGCAATAAAATATTACTAATTATAATTAACTATATAGGATCTACACAACTAGTAAGCATGTGCAAATCTTCAATATTTTATAGATGAATTTAATCTCAATATCTTCAATTGTTTCCCATCCTAGTTCGACTACTCCCGATGCAAAGATTGCAGATAGAATTATCGAACGATGCCTTTCTACACGTCCAGATCTATTACCTGAAGGCGAGACTAAACTTAATATTAAAAGACATGGAGTTGGTTTACGACCTGTTAGAAAAAATGGAATCAGAATCGAAGCAGAATGGATATGTGAGTTTCCTTCTAACATTTGATCCGAACCTATTTATGGGGTATTAACCCCATTTCATCGATAGTTTGGCATGAGGATTTGCTAATGGCTATCAACGAATATACCAGATCCATTTCATACACTCTAAAGTTGCATATATATCTATTTAATATTAGTATCCGAAAAAACAGGCAAAAAAATTTTACTCTGTCATAATTATGGCCATGGGGGATACGGTACGAAAATATATTAAACATTTGTTATAATTATTTACCTATTTAATACTATTAAGCTTTTTTTATTCTGGTTTCGGATTTCAGGATGGCAATCAAGTTATGGAGCATCATTGCACGTAATTCAAACTGTAAAACAAACTCTTAGAGAAGGTCATGAACAGAGTAGTAATATTGGTGTAAAGCTCTGATACTAAATAATTCTGGTTTAGTAAATATTATTATACTTTTTAAGAAATTAAAATCAAGAGCAAATGCCTTTTTATATTATTTATTTTGATATATTTGGTTTGCCTGTTTTGCTTTTAGGCAGAAATTCAACAGCTTTACGTCCCAATTAAAATTTTCCCTCATTATATAGTCATAAGTGTAATGCGCATTTGATATCTTGATATCACAAGATAAGTAGTTAAAGAGATAAAAAATTTTATGGTAAATTTTAAAAATTTGCTTAATAAATAGACAATATATTCAATATGTAAAATTTACTCATAGTGTTCCAATCTGAGGATTACGTTTTGATTTTTATCCGATCTGTTTAAATTTATAGGCAGATAACGCATCCAGTTTTATTTATATATCTTTGAGAAATCTGATGTTATCATATATAACTAGGTGCTTGAGTTGCTTGAAGTGAGTTAGAAATGATTGCAGTGTATCGATTGCACTAGTGCATTCAATATCATATTTAATTTAGTTTGATGCAATTTTTCTTGCATACTTCCGAATAAACTTTTATGCATTTATATTTATATTAATAGCTTAAAAAGTACAATTTCAACTGTACTAAATTAAAGTCCATTGATTATTATTATTGTAACTATAATATACATTAGTAGATATATTGTTAAATACAGAACATTGCTTTGACATCATTGTTATAAACATTTGTAATTTATTAATTAAAGTATATATATTCACTTCAGTAATTTGTTATTTTTGATTGTATCTTTTGCTCAGGATTTAGTCAGTAGCTTAAGATTATCTATTACATTATGATAATTTATTAGTTAAAATTTAGTTGTTTAGAGAATTAATTGGAGTTCATTTTTTTTATGTTGAAAATAGTTTAATGTAATAAAACTGGTTTAGAATACTATGGTTATCAGATTCAAGTACATAATTGATTTTAATTTAAATGTTAGTTATAATATTAATGTGTTTAACTTAATAATCTACTTTACTGGAGTGTGACAACCTAGTAAAGTGAATAGGTTGTCAACCCTCAAGTAGCAGGTCTAAGGTTCAATTTTCACAGACAACAAATTTTGAAAATTATATTTATATCATGATAACTGTCTTTTATTGATTGGTTAGATTTATGCATCTGTAATCTTAGGTATACCAGATCAGGATCCACCTGATTTTGGGAACTTAGAGAATTTATATGAAGTGAATGTTATACATAATAGAGGAATGTAAAAACCAATGTCACATAAGACTTTGGTGCAAACCTATAATAAGACCACTGGGTGTAAAAAACTAAAAAACTAAGAAGATGAAAATTCACTTGGAAATTTTAAATAAAGAGGTAGTATAAACTTTTGATGATGTTGTTAGACTGATGAAAATTTATAAAACACCTTTATATGAATTGTTAGATAAACCAGATGACAAGATATGTAAAGGAGCATATAATCAACTAGGTTATCAGAATTTTAGAAAAAAAAGTACTATACTAGACCATTTGGATTGAAAGTCTGAAGAAATTATTAGTTCTGAGTTACAGCTAGTAGAAGATAATAAAGAAGACATTAAAAAGATGGGTACTAGGGTTTAAATAAACTTTACAAGGGTAATAGCAGTTTAATAGATAATTCTACCTGTAAATGTTAATCTCAGTCATAATATAAAATTTAGGTTAATAGTAGATAAAAAATATTTAACTTATTCTAGTAGGTTTATGTTTAAGAATAAAATTGTTCTAAGGTTAAAACAGAATCTAAGTACAAGCAACTTAGTGAAGTTGGTACAAGGGTTTTGGATCAGAGAGTTCAAATAGAACACTTAAACAGAAGTGTTAGGTATAACAACTGGTAGAGAACCTCTGGATGAATTTCTTAATTAGATAATATAGAAAAGTTACAAATGTAGCCAGTTGTATACTCATTGTAATGTCTAAAAAAAGCATTAATAAAGTCAAAAGACCAAAAAGTTTATCTTAATACTGAAAAAAAAATAATCTACTTTACTGAAAATTTTTTCATTTAATAAAAGGTATTATTAAGTTATTTATTGATGTTTGTATTTTTTTTAGGTTAATTTTATTGAAGATTATTATTAACATTGAAGATATTATAAGTTATAAATATTTTACAAGACAATAAAGTATCATAAGATGGTTTTAGGTTTTTAGTTATAACAATAGTTATGCAAATTTATTTATTATTATTTTTTTCTTAAAAAATAATAATATGTTCAACTTTTTCTCAAAAACAAACTAAAAAAAAAATAAATAATTTATATTATTAAATTTAAAAAAGAATTTATTTGATAACCTTTTGTATGTTTAATATAAATATGTTAACTGATTTAGTTTAGAAAAAATTATGTATTAGTTCTAAAATAGAGAAAAGAACTTAAATATAAGAGAAAACTTTTATAATTTGTGAAGTTAACACAGAATACAAGTTTAAAAAGTTTAAAATAGAATATTTAAACAGATCTGTAATTCTGATTATGCCAAGACTAACTTTAAACATATTCAATATTATGCAAATAAATTTAAAAAATATATACTAAATAAGAAGTTCTGCTTAGAAATTCTAACTAGAAAGATAGTATAATTATTAACAGTATCACTTATAAAATTCTAAATCTAGAGAAAATAATTTAAAGCAGATAACCTGTATAAACAAAAACCTCTAAATAAAAAAAGTTTACCAATTTGGCTAATCAGTTGATCTAAATATTATATAAAGTTAATTAGGTTAATAGTATAAAAAAACTTGCAAAAGTACAAGATATTAGTAAAATTGTAAAAATAAATATTAAAATTGTATAAACTCTACAAAGATATAGCAGTTTAATAATTAGTTCTAATTGTAAGTGTTAGTCTCAACTATAGCAAAATACTAAACCAATTAAAAATTAAAATAATAGAAGACTTTGGTAAATTTAATACAAAGTTAAAGGTTGTTTATATAAATAAACTGTTTTAAAGATTTAGTAATTATGATATATTTATATAAATCAGTTGAAAGAGTAAATAGATAAATAGATACAAGAATTAGAATATTTAAATAAAGAACTTATAAGTAGATTTAGATATAGTAATTAGTATAGATCTTTAAACAAACTACTTAAATTAACAATAGCTTAAGTTATTTGAGTAGTTAGTTATATATATTTTTTATAATTACTTTATAATTATTGTAATACATTTATAATATTAAAATATCTTATTAATAAAATTCTGAATCACAAATATTCATTTTAATATTAAAAACAAAAAAATAAATAAAAAAATACTTGCTTATTATATTAATAAACAAAATATCTAAATTAATTAAAATTAATATTTATTAAGATATTTACTTGTATATAATATGTTATAAAAAAAATTCAACAAAAACTTACAAATTGTATTAATAAATAAATATTTAGATTAGTTAGAATTAATATTTATTAAAGTATTTATTTATATATAATATGCTATAAAAAAAGAATTTACTAATTAATTAATAAAAAAATTAAATTAAATTTTTTTTTTGATATTAAGATGACCTCTTTGGTCTTTTGACTTTTATTAATTACTTATTGATATTGTAGTTCAATAAACTACTACAGGAAAGCATACAATTGGCTATACATATAACTTTTCTATATTACCTATTTAAGGAGTCTACTCAAAGGTTCTCTACTAATTGCTAAACCTAACATCACTGCTTGGATGTTTCATTTTAAATCCTCTGAACCTATAATCTGTGTTAACTTACTGGGTTATACCCAGATGTCCAGATCATTATCTCAACCTTAGAACTAATTTATTTTTGAAGTAAATTCTTAGAGCTTTCTATACCTATTTTTACAACTAACCTAGTATCATTATGGCAGAACCAACACTTGTAGTCAGAGGTTAAAGATTAAACCACTATGCTCTTGTAGAGTTTACTTAGACCCTAGCATCTACTTCACAGCAAAACCTCAGTACTTAAGTATACTCCTACCTTTTTATTTGCCTTTTTACCAAACTTCTAATCCAGATAGCTTATATAGAACTACAACTAGTCTATTAGCATATTAGATCAGCCTGATTGGTGATATCTCCAAGACTTCCAATCCAAAGGTTCTTGGCTGTCTGGCTACTACAACCAGGTACTAGATCTTGGTATCTGTTTCACCAGGCTAACCTTTATAGTAGATTAGTTAAAATTTATATTTATTAGAGAATATATAATGTTTATAAATTAGTAGTTAAAGGAAAATCTGGCAACTCTTTCTGCTAATCACTTATACCAAATTTTTGCTAAAAACATTTAATTATTTCTAATTATTTTACTAAGTTAATCTTACTTGTACTATTAAGTAACGTTGTTCAGCACACTTTTCTGCTTCTAGGCGGCCAAGTTTTAAGTTCCAACAACTTCTGGCCATTAAGAAAAGTTACAAAAAACAATATTTTAGTTTTTACTTATTTGCTCAAAATTTTACTAATTAAATATACTTTGTTCATTATTAGTAATTTACTTAGCTCACCAAGGTGGACATTTTGATATATATTTTGTTTTAAACAAACAAAAGCTCATCATGTTATCCTCAAAAAGGCAAAACTTAAAACCTGTTTTTGCAGGTTTTTTCATTGGCAATTTTAGGAAAATTTGCAGGTGTGCTCTAGAAAATTCACCTTTTGGTATCCATTAAAATTTCCTAAACATCCAATTATCTTTTCCAAACATTATACATCTTTCAGATTCTTCTTAACTAGTCTAGAAACTACAAAACGAAAAAAATTCTTTCTAGAAAACCTATTTTAACTATTTTTTATATAACAAAAAATTAAGTACTATTACTGGCTATACAAGTTATATAGGTTACAATATTTGCAATAGCCATAGTAATATCTTTAAAAAACACATACTATTTCTATAATAATATAATTATTCACTAAATTCTTAACAAACAAGAAATTAAATTCTTTTTTTATGCCAAATTTTATTTAACTACAAAATGCTAACTCTCTCAAGCTCTG